ATATTCACTCAACATCACCTTTAATAGGTACGAACTATTTTAAAAGGTTCTTTTCCTTTACTTCTTTAACTTTAAACAGTTCTAAAACCCATTTTGGTGAAGGTTGGCAAAATATTTTCAAGAAATATAATAATTCTCTTTAATGAAAATATGTTTTGTTACCAAACTGTCGTACAGTGTAAAGTAAAACTTCATTATTTGGCGAAAAATCGTTTTTAAATCAACAAGTTTATTCTGTACTCAGCTTTAAAATTATAAAATATTTCCGAAGAAGGAAATTTTTTGTTTTTATCTCATACACATATACGTATTAAACTTTTGAAGAAAAGCTCCGGTTAGTAAACTTAAATTTTACATTGTAGTTTAACGTTCTCTTTTGTTTGATTACAACCAAAGCAAAAGAGTTTCTTTAACATTGTTAAAGTTTAATTATATAAATAGTGTCTCACAAGAAGCATCACACTTTAAAATAGTCTTAGCCTATTATAGTGGATAAAAATTTTTACATCTATCTATCTGTTTGCCTGTCTGTTATGTCTACTTATCTACCCACAATCAGTCTTACATAATTACGAAAACTATGATACTAAGTGAGGTATCGTTAGGAAGATATTTTTTGGTATATTTGTAAAGCAAATTCAAATTTCATAAATGCTGTTAAGTCCAGTTGCAGTATCAGTTTCATACCACAATATTATAACCTTTCCGTTCGTGGGTGGGTGGGGATTATTTTCTAGTCTCTATAATATTCCAATTTAATAATATCATTTGTACATACATCTTTGATAAATTTATTTTTGAACAAAAATATCGAAATAATGATTAACTTTTCAAATTTAGAAATGTTTATGCAAGGTGATACGAGGCAAATATATATTTAAATATAAATAATTTATAAAGACGATGAATTTCTCTCTTTCATTACTCATTATTATGAAAATAATGACATGCTCCTTCTGGAGGATGAAATGCTAGTCTATAACGGTTTAACCTCCAGGTACGCGTTATACAGGTAAGTAGACTGAAATAATGGGGTAAAGTGCCTTGATTAAGTACACACCAACATGTCGCGAACGAGCCTCGAACTCGCAGCCTTCCAACTATAAGTCAAAAATCATTAGCGCCAGGACCACGCTGCTCCCTAATGTTTTTTTTTGTTTGTTTGTTTATATAGCATTATATCCAGTTCAAAGTAGCAAGTTATTTTTTACTAAACTTCATATTATCCTCAATATCTGATCCTGGGGACCCGATATTGAGGACAATATGAAGTTTAGCAACAACAACATAAGCAGCATAGTTTCCTGCTTGTTACAAGAGATATGGAGCTGTGTACTTAGTTCGGATTTCAGTTTTTTTCCTTATTCTACAACGCACTTAGAACAACAATTATATTCTCGCTGTTTTCGGAAATAAAAAGACATTTGTCTTTACTCTGGATTAAAGGATAGGCTACTAGATATTTTGGTTGGAATTTATTATCACTTATAAGCATGAATGACGCTCACATGCACAGAAGATAAATATTTATGTACACGCCTAAAGAAGAAAGAAATATCAGGTTCATACGTTAAACAAAGCTGCATATAAATATATTAGATTAGAAAATAATTTAGGCTTGTATGAAACTTCAAAAATAAGACGCGCTAGCGGTTGTGTTTCAATAAATTTTTTGAATGTGGAATTATAAGCAAACGTGTGATTTACAAATGTCAAAATAAACGTTAATATTTTACGAGTTTCCACACGGTTAACGTGCCGTACTGTTGAGATGTGGTTTAGTGGCTTGCGTATCGTTAATGTCAAAAAGAAAAAGGGATCGCGTTCCGCACTTTGAGGCCCTGGGTGCGTTATAAGGGTAATAGTCAAGACACACTCTTCAGTCTTACAAGGGTAGCTCAAGAGCTAGCAGAGGAGAATGTTGACTAGTTGGCTTTTATTATGTGAAAATTTTGGCTTTAGTATTTTTCACAATACAGTTTTCTTATAACTAAATCCTTGATCAGTAAAATAATTCGTTACAAAGAAAACTGACTAGTATCAGAAAGAGCTTGATGATGATAAGGTTTATTGTGACAATTTGAGTTTCTGTAATTTAATTAATAAAGCAAATCTCTTAAGGATCAAACACAAAAACAAAGAACATATGCACCCGGCTCATTAATCAAAACCATGTGTTCAAAGTGTTTGTTGAGCCGTAGTAGCACGTTGATGAATTGGAGTTAATTGATTGTACATGAAAGTGATATAATAATTACGTCATATTACAAAATTAATGATCGGTCTTTTTTTTTTGACATTCTAGTAATGTGTACAGAAAGTAAGATAAGGAACGTTACGAGAAATAAGAATACTTAAGGTTATCTATAGATATCCATTTTTTTTTTTTTGTGGCAACGATGGAATAGATAATTTTTAGTTTCCTCCACGGAACTCATTTTATGAATTCTAAGTGGAGTAGCCCCCCCCAATGGTACAGCGGTATATTCTGCGGACTTAGAACGCTAGAAACCGGGTTTCGATACCCGTGGTGGGCACAGCACAGATATCCCTTGTATAGCTTTGTGCATAATTAAAAACAAACTAAGTGGAGTACCACTTATCTTTTGGATACCGATATCGAATTCCGTTATGTTTTGTATTTCTTAGCAGTTCAACTTGAAGAATACTTGATACCTGTACTTCCTTAAGGAAAATTGCACCACTGGCTTTCTCTTTCATCTGAAGATAAAGCAACTAAAAATGACTTATAAACTTACAAAAGAATTAACAATCAAGATAAATTTTAAGATGAATTAATTAAATAAATGAATTTGAACTAGAAACTGACATATAAAATATAATGAATTTCGGTGATATTAAGGACATAATACTGCATCAAGTGGCATTTCTAATTGAAAAAGATGAAAAAAATAGATGGAAATCATACGAAATATTTCTTAGATACTGGAGTGTAATTGTTAGTCGTAGTAATGTTCCATCTTGATCTGTTTCTTCAAAGGACGTGTGTGAAATGATGAAACTACTCCGTAAATCATTAAAGAAATGAAAAACTGGCTAATTCTATTACAGCTTTTACGTGTAGATGTTTGTTTTGTTTGTAGTTAAGCAAAAAGCTACACAATGGGCTATCTGGGTTTCTAGCGTTGTAAGTCAGCAGACATGCTGCTGAGTCACGGGGGGGGGCACATGTAGATGTACTCACTACTCAAATATTTCAAACGTAGAAGTAAAAATCAATAAATTACTCTATGTGTGTATATATACACATTTTTTGTGTTTAAACGCAAAGCTATGCAATGGGTTTCTGCGCTGTACCCACCGCAGATATTGAACACAGATTTTTTTAGCGTTATAAGCACTCATGCTTACCATTGAGCCACCTCTCGATTTAGAAGATTATAAAAAGTTTGGTTATTGAGTCTTCACATTATCGGTATCACTCTCAATCAATGAATTCTAATCATTGTAAGTTTTTTTTTATGACATTGCATACTCCTAGTTGGACCGACAGATTAAATCAGCTTTATTAATTACTGGGATAATTATAGTTCTAATCTATGTAGGTAGCTTGGTTTGATTAGAAGTTAATTATAATTAATCATATTCCAGATTTTAATCAAATATACATAGACGCAAAAGTCAGAAAAATATGGAATGTAACTACACAGTGTTTCAGCTGATGCAACAGGTAACTGAAAACATAATTTTATGTACTTGTCAGATATTCTCAGTCTTCATTTATGTCTTTTGCCTAGCTGTGACCCGTTGTGCTTGCTAATACTTTGTTGATGTCCTAATGTTTACGTTATATAAATGAAATTGTCATTTTACTTACCAAACGTAAGAAAAGTAAAATATATATAAGCAACACTTTTTTAACACAATTTTCTTCTGTAAAGTTTTATGAAAATGTTTTAAACCTAATCTTACGCGTGGGAAAGAATATAATTCATTTACTGACCACACTTTAACAATTTTCTTATCAATGTTAAAATCCTATTGCTATGTTTACGACACTTTGTAGGAAGCCACGAATGACAAAATGTTATTGCTATGAATATGACTCTTTATAGAAAGTCATCAATGACAAAATTTTTGTCATTGATGACTTTCTATAAAGAGTCATATTCATAGCAATAACATTTTGTCATTAGAAGCTTCATACAAAGGGTCGCAATCACAGCAATAACATTTTGTCATTGATGACTTTTTACAAAGGGCCATAATCATAGCAATAAAATTTTATTGCTATGATTATGGCCCTTTGTAAAAAGTCATCAATGACAAAATGTTATTGCTGTGATTGCGACCCTTTGTATGAAGCTTCTAATGACAAACTTTTATTGCTGTGATTACAATATTTTCTAGGAGGCCATCATTGAGAAAATCTTAGTGCTATGGTTAAGACTGTTTACAGAAACTCATCAATGACAAAATGTTACTGCTATGATTACGACCCTTGTATAAAGCCACCAATGGCAAACTGTTATTGGTAGGATTATGACCCTTTGTATGAACCCACCAATGACAAAATCTTATTGTTAGGATTATGGCCCTTTGTATGGAGTCACCAATGACAAAATTGCATTGCTATGATTGCAACCCTTTGTATGGAGTCATCAATGACAAAATCATATTGCTATGATTAAGACCCTTTGTGTGGAGTCATCAATGACAAAATGTTATTGCTATGATTACGACCCTTTGTATGGAGTCACCAATGACAAAATCTTATTGGTCTTCCTCTGTAGTAAGTCTTTGATAATTGCTTACTTGATAAGAGTGCATAAGAAATACATTATATACATAATAGTTTAATGGTATTCAACATTTTACAAGTAGATATAGGTATGCATAGAATATTCTACAGATAATGTGTGAAAACGTTTGAGATTTACTTAGTTTAACCGTGAAGTTACTCTGTGTACTCATTTCTGTGTACTATGTTCTAAATGATCATGGCTCAAACACACCCGTATCGTTGATCCTACTGTTGCACGGATCCATGTTTTTTTATTTGCACACTATATTACAATTTACATATTGATCTCTCGAAAGCATACTACGTTTAAATTATAACGTTCATTCTAAATAATACAAGCGCTAATCAATCTATTTTTATATATTCTGAAGAAACACTTGAGAATTTCAAAACCTACATTAGTAACTAAATTGTATTCTATAGAATATGCTAATATAATTTATATATGTCAGTATGGTAAATCTAGCTTCAGTAAACACTTTGTACATAGGCCTATTCCGAATTTAAAATATATTATTTCCATAATCCTTTTTAAAAACTGTAAAATTGTCGTGCTCCTGTTTTGTTTTTATTTCTTTTTCAGCAGTTTTCTTTTTACTATTTACATTAGTTAAATTTAGTATTTTCGTTAATGATGTCCTTTGATAAAATGCACTTCGTTTCAACCACTAACAAAAGTCCATCATAGCAGCATTGACTCACTCTTGTGATTTAAAAATCCATTAATGTCATATGTATTTATATGTATTTAATAGCTTTGCAGCAGAATACTTTTAAATATGAAAAATACAATATTAATAATACGATTTCGTGAAGAAAACCAAGGATGAAACGTTTATATTAGCTTTGCTCATTTTTTATATTCTAAATGAACTTCGGCTATAAATCATCTGCCACAAACGTTTAATCACATTCCAGGCTTAACTTGACATTTCGAACAACAATTTCATGAGACATTGACTAGAGCTTCTCTTTCATTTGAACGGTAAGTTGCATCAGCATTGGGTTCTTCCACCACATCTAATAGTGCCACGTCAACAGAATCATCCAAACTTCTCTCTGTACTGTGCCATACTCCATACGCCATGTATTCAAGGATTCCTGTGAAATGTGAGAATAAATTTAGGTTTAGTTCTATAAAAATTAGGCTTTTGTAGATAATAGATGTTCCCTGTTTATCTTTTACAAATATAAAACTTACATGAAGAATATACATGGAATAAAAATTTATAAAACCTAAACTTTGCGTTTTAACTTCTGAATGTTTTTAAATGCTAATCTAAATCTGTTAGCAGATTTTAAAAACGTCAAATTGAATGATGTACTTTAATAGTTTTATTGATTTTTAAAACGATTATCCAAATTTAAAGAATAAATATAAAATGCGAATTCTAATCTGTTTATGGATTTCAACAAGCTAAACTGTATTGGGTGTTTCAGCCAATAAAGTGTGAGTTCTAATCTGTTTACAGATTTCAAAAGGTTAATATGTACTATATTTACCAAACTATTAAAGAAAGTTAGTATATGCGTTTCGATTTTGTACACCAATGTATTAAAAAAATAATATTACTTCCAATCCACTTCGTTAACATATTAAAATGTTTTATTGTATTCAAACCTAAGCTATTTTGAAAGATCACTGCGCTCTCTGGTGGTATAATGTCGTTATTGTCTAAATATATTATGCTCTTTCTAATTTTACAAAATGTTTAGAAGTTTATAAAAACACAAAACGCAATTTCCTTATATTGTTACTGACCAAAAAAGAATATTTTTTTCGAAAGTTTTGTATGTTATTTCCACATATTTATATATATTGTAAAAGCTATATTTTGACTGAATCAAAGTAAACTAACATACATTGAATACTTATCCTCTACTGTTTTATATACATAACTACGACTGTCATCACACTGTTATGTTAATATAATCACTACCAAAGTCATAAACCTATCCTTTTTGTACGTTATTAAGCACAAAATTATAAGCCCTCTGGCTGCTCAGCAGTAAGTCTGAGGACTTATAACGCTAACATGCACACCCTTCTGCTCTCCATAGTTTGTCTAGTGTAGAAGGAGGGTGGCTTCTCAGTGTTCATTTCAACAGTCCAATCACACAGAAATCTATAAGTGCTGTGCCGTCGACAGAAACGGCAAGTCTTCACATGGAATAACCTAGTACCCGTTTCATTCTCCAGCTGTTTGAGGTTAAACAGATGGTTAAACGGATATATAGTGGAAGCAATCTGTGTTGCTTTTCCTCATGGATGGATATCCTTCTTCATTATTTTACGTATTGTTGCCTGGGTCACGTAGACGGCTTTTGACTCTGACATTTGTGTTTGTGGATTCTCACCTGCTACAACACGCCGCAATTTGCTTACCACGGCTTGAGAACGACTAGTTGTAGGTCTTTTTCTGGATGGTACTGGGTCCCCAAGTTGAACCACATTCCTTTATTTTCCAATGTCATCAAATACAATCTAAATCCAATTCTTAACAAATCTTTATTATCTGAGTGTATGAATATTTTTGTGTACGAAAGGACTGTTATCCACCTTTTCCAAAAACGATAAATTTTCAGTGGCATCACACTACCTACAAAACGCCAATGTCAAAATGCAGTTCTAATACACGCCGTTCCACCTCGACTTATATCGGCTGTGGTTATCATGAAACCTACTGATGTCAATGTTCAAAACAGTTATAATATAACGTGCTCAACCTTCTTGATATACATATATATACACAAATTTAGGGTTTTCTCATCTTATTGAAGCAGTTCGTTCGCAAAATCCGCCAAAAAGGTGAAATACGCGGTTTTTTTTTATTGGCGATTTCAATTATGCATTAAAATGTCAACATACAAATGATTCCTGAAATGTAATTAAAAGTAATAACATGCCGTTTATTATATAGACCTGGGTATTTGAATAAATGGAAATCTAAGTTCACGTTTTACTAACTTTTTAAGTGTTGTAAAAACTACGTATTGATTAGAAAGCTATCAGTTACCCAGAGACACATTTAGTCATGGTGATAACCGAATAACTGATAAGTTTGACTATAGAAAATAATGGCTAAAATAACATTTGGCATAACGTTCATATTCTTAAACAAATCAATAACTTTTGTATCGCAGTCTTCATTTCCATATTATTTAATAAAAGCTAATTGCAACTTTGCGTTTTCTGTTTTATTATTCTAATATATTATTTCAGTAACACACTGCCAGTAAATAACTATGTATACATACAACTTTTCAACTGGTATGTTGTATTGATGATTGAATTAAGCTAAATTATTGTTCTCTGCCGTAAAACACTTTCAGAATGATTTTAAACTTACCAAGAAGAATCCAGAACAGGAACGCCAACCAAGAAGTGTAAGAAAGAGAAGCCATGAAATGAACTGTCATCCAAAGAGCACAAAGTGGCAGCACAGGGACACACGTAACACTATTTTTAGATCTGGGCTTATGATGTGGTTGTCGAATTATACACCCTACACAGACAACAACAGTTATCATTAGAAAGCTGAAAACGACTTCAACCCACCAGCGACTCTGGGCGAATCTGTGTGGGACATGCATCGTGATTACCCCCATTGCACCGATTATTGTGATAACGGCAGCCACCAGAATAGCTGTGACAACAGCTGACTTAGAAGTTGGCCCGAGTTTTTGATTTGTGCTGTCTTGGGCTGATAATTCTGTTAAGGAAGTGACATAAGTGTCATTTACGAGCTCAACTGACACGGGCCTTGGATGGAGAGCTCCGTAGTTTCTCCTTCTTCTGTCAGTCATTGTGATCAAATCGACTGTTGGTCTTCCACCTACACTGTTCGCATAATCGGTATTTCTTGATGAGCAGTATTCAAGACAGTTGCTTCTTGTAATAGCCTCTGTAGTAATATTTTCCCCGGCAAAAGAGGTTTGAGTGCTGGCGTTCACAACGTGTAGATAATCTTCTGCATAAGAATTGTGGCCTGATAAGTTAGCGCCACCAAGTGGCAGAGTAGCTGTTGACTCTCGAGACATTTCAGATAACTCAAGTGGTAGACCCTCCAAAACACCATAACGTAAACAAAGAACCGACAGCAGCACAGAAGTGAAAGAAGTAAGAGTTCCCATTCCCAGAATTCCAAGTAAAGTTCGAGAATCGCAGAATAATGCAAATACAGCTGAAAGTGAAGCCGAAACGATACAAGCGGACCAACTTGTTCCTGTGCGTTCATTGTAGCGTGTCAGAAATTGGAATAAAAGACCGTCGTTGGCAAGGGAATGCTGCACACGAGACAGAGCGAAGAGGGACGTACCCACAGACGACAACAGTCCACAGTTGGCTCCGACAATCACGAAGAGTTTCATTCCACGTATCTTGCGAACTTCAAAAGCTTCCAAAAGAGAGCCTCGTCGGTCCAGAAGAGAACAGGGAATGACTAATGTCACAGCCGTGGCCGTGATAAATGAAACCACTAATCCCACAAGAAAAGTAAAATTAACTGCTCCCGGCAATGTTTTCGTTCGATGCATTATCTCTCCACCAGAGGTCGCGATTACATCATAGCCCACGAAGGCAAAGAAACAGACTGATGCAGCAGAGAAAACCTGAAAATAACAACATATTTCTGTATAATTCAGTTAATTATACATTTTCGGCTTGTTTTAAGTAAATTACTCATGTTTTGTTCAAACAAACCATGAAACTACAGGTTCTTTGAATATTCCTATATTTTATTATAATTCACTGACATCTATTGCGAAAGCACTACTTTTCAGTTCAGAATTTAACTTATTTCAAATTAAGGTCAAAATAACAGACTTCGCTATTTGAAAATTTCGTTTCAAGGAATTCCCGGTGTGAGAGTTCAGCTCAGAGAAATGAATAATAATAATAAAAAACCTAAAAATTGTAAGCTCTACTTTCTTCTCTCTTTGTCTAGGAAAACAAAATAAACATGAATACTCGGAAATTATTTCAGTCTTTGTTTTTCTGCGCTAATCGCAGGATTCGAACCTCAAGCTTGCCGCTGAGCTACCACGGAGAGGGCATTGTCTTGTTATGGTGTGAATGCCTTTTACAAGTTGGCGAAGCATGATTACAATCATATTACTTATCATTAGACATTAGTATTATATTTGTCATATATTTTTTAACACTGTATTCTATATCTAATCTTTTAGTGGTCTTTAAAAATTATAAGAGCGTTTGTTTGTTTGTTTGTTTTTAATTATGCACAAAGCTACACAAGGGCTATCTGTGCTCTGCCCACCACGGGTATCGAAACCCGGTTTCTAGCGTTGTAAGTCCGCAGACATACCGCTGTGCCACTGGGGGGCTATAAGAGTGTATAATAACAGTATTTCAACCACATTATGGTACACATATCTACTGTTGACATGTTTCGCTCAAGACAAAGCCCATCAGGCCGACTGGGACACAACAAACACATTAGTGGTCAGAACACTATTTATATAAGCCATTTGCTACAAGAACAATTGTTATGGTGTAAATGCCTTTTACAAGCTGGCGAAGCATGATTATAATTAATCTACTTGTCATTCGACATTATTATTCGGCCATTATATTTTAACACTATATTCTATATCTAGTCCTTTAGGGATTTTTAAGAATTAAAGGAGCGTATAATAATAATATTCCAATCACAATACATTATTGTAACAAATGGCTTATATAAATACTGTTTCGATTAGTAATGTGTTCGTTGTTTTCCAGCCGGTTGATGATCTCTGGATTGAGCGAAACGCGTCGTCGGCAATAGCTAAGGCGAACATAGTGTGATTGGAATACTATTATTATACACTCTTCTAATTTATGAAAATCCCTACGGGACTAAATATAGATTGCGGTGTTAAATATAAGCCTAATACTAACGTTCAAGTTTTTACTCGATTTTTTTAATCAAACCATGTAACTGTTAAAAGAATGGCATTAATATTCATTTTATTATTGCAACGAGAAACATTTATATAAATAAATTTTTTTTTTATTAACCTAACCTAATCTAAACTTATTTGTGTGACTATATTGATTTGGGGCCTGAATATCATTTTAGAAAATTATATAGATAATAATAAATTTCAAGCATATTGTCTTATAACAGTCTCATATTTCCTTCGTAGAGGAAAAAACCAATAAAGTGCAGTTCCAAAGATAATTACTACTAGACTTTATTCAAAGGACTGAAATTGGCGTTCTTATTTTTTTTAAGAACTAAAAATTAGCTACTCTTAGAAACCTTCGATTGTATCTGGCATCTCGTTTAAAAGAGAAATAGTTATCAAACGTGAAATGTCCAGCATGTGTGCTTTCAGAAGCAATTCATTATCAGTGGCTTTTTTTTTTTTTAAGTTTATGGCGAATTAGATTTATCGAAACATAACTTTGTTAAAAAAGCGCTTGGTAGAGTGAGATTAAATTTTTGTTTTATTGGTTATTTTTTACTTTTTCGGTTAAAAAAGTATTTTTTGTTCAATACTTTTAGTTACTGGGTACATTCCTCCTCCTTCAATATCGGCACAGTAATTAAATTGAAACTTTCAAAAAGTAGCCTTTTATGATTGAATAGAAGAAGACTAAATGCATGACCGCCTTGTGTACTCCAGCGTGATTGTTCCAAGGGTGAAATTTCCTCAGAAACTTTTCGTTAGCATACGTTTTTTTTTAATCTCATTTAATCTTGTATAAAAGAGAACAATGGGTGAAAGACGCCATATATCACTACTATTTTCACATGTGTTTTTGTGTTGAAAATTACAATTAATAAAAGTAAATTAATAAATTACCATCGAAGTAAACTCTCATATTTTTGCCCCTTCCCCTCCTCCCTACAAGTGGCTCAGTGGTAAAGTCGAGGGCTTATAACGCTAAAAATCGTGATTGGTACATCACGTTTTGTAGCTCTGCGTTAAACAAAGACAAATAAACATATTCATTGTAAGTAACATAACTAAAAAAAAAGATTTTTTATTAGAGTTTGAATATTTCATGAAATGAAGAAACTATGTGTTAGCACTCGTTTGTTAACAGTTTCTTGATAGGAATAAATATTCTCATGTATTTTGTCACTATTGAGTCTATGGCCTCAGAATTACTAACATTTAATTAAGTTTATTATATGGGATTCACTTTCATTTTGTATTAAGTTAAAAATATAATTTCAGAATCTCGCGCGAAGCTACACTGAAGACCTCTGTGTATATCCCTTCCAAAATTTGAATTGATAGACTAAAGAGGAGGCAGTTAGTCTACATTACCTATCGCCTAATCTTGAGCTACCTTTTTCTGTTCGAATAATAGGACTTGAAAGTTTCTCTTATAACCCACCCACGATTCCACAGTGCGGAGCGCGTTTTGGTGGCACTGGCCACAAACCGTGAATCCATGGCACGCAAAACAGTAGTTAGGAGATTTTTTTGTTAAACTACGTATTTATTTTTGGAACGATCGCTCGTTTATACTCCCCATCTACTATATTTAAATCTAAATATCGTGGTTGTAGTGAAATGTTATGTACCAAATAAATACTTAATACAGGGTTAAAATTTTCAGACTATTAATAATGAATGGCTAGCGGTTGCGAATGAAACCATATTTAGTTCTTAACAACTGAAATAAAGCTAGACCCAGGTTTGTTTGTTTGTAGTTAAGCACAAAGCTTGTTTGTTTGTTTGTAGTTAAGCACGAAGCTACACAAAGGGCTATCTGTGCTCTGCTCACCACTGCTATCGAAACACGGTTTCTAGCGTTGTAAGGCTGCAGACCTTCCGCTGTGCCACTCGAATGTAGACAAAATAATTTATGAGTTTCGTTTTACAACTAAAAAACAGATTACAGGCATACACTATACTCAATTAATTATATTTTGCTTATATAACACAGAATCTTAAATATTGAATTTTGCCACAGGCTCTATGTGTCATGCTTACTTAACATTTAGTGATATTAACGGACTTCATACGGTAAAGCTCCGAGAAAATACTTCAGACGTTATACACTTTAACCGGTTAATAATAGTAGAATATCAAGTGCTAAACAAAGGGGCAACAGGCATCAGACAATAACAGGCAACAGTAACAACAGACACAGTAAGGGTGAACAAACTAGGAATTAATTGTACGGTACATACATTGAAATCCGTTGGAATGTCGGAGCAAGACTGGATTATACATACTTTGATTACAGTTTGATATTGTGCCATTTTCCGGATCCGCTAGTAATTATTATTTATCAACTGCATAAAATGCTTTTTTTTATTAAAATTTAAGTATTTCTTTTTATACATTGTGTGTGTACATTGTAAACATCCCTCTTAAAGAAGAGTGATAATGAAATACCAGAAGTACAAACAACTTTTTAACGCTCACATTTTAATGTGAAAAATATAAGAAAAATTTATGTTCACTTCGTTCCACCTCAGACTAGTATTGATCAGAATTATTTAAAGTATATTTGGTTACTTAAAATAGTTTTTAGTCTTGAAAAATTTATGTTCACTTCTTTCCACCTCAGCCTAGTATTGAGCACAATTATTTAAAGTATATTTTGTTACTTAAAACAGTTTTTAGGCTTGCAAAATTTATGTTCACCTCTTTCTACTTCAGACTAGTATTGATCAGAATTATTTAAGGTATATTCTGTCACATGAAATAGTTTGTAATCTTGAGTCTTTGAAAAGTAGTCAATCAAATAATTTTCTAAGCTTCAGAATTACTATAATTATTAATTTTAAACCTACCCCTCCCACGCCGTGGGGGAAGAATCCTGAACCAGCCGTCCAGTTTTCTGAATCCAAGTTGAACATTCCGACCAGTACCATGCCAATTATTACCAGAAAGTTGACGAAGACCAGAGCGTTGTTGACAATACATCCTAACTACAGAATCAGAAGGAATGAAATAAATTGAATTCATGTTTCACACGTTTTTCATCAGACTAGAATGTTACATTCAGAAGTATTTCCTCCATAAACACATATATTAACAAGATAACTTGGTGATTTTCGTTAATGGTCAACACGTGTGAAGTTCCACTTCTGAACTGGTTTTGAACAGAAAATAAAAACTTTGCTATGCTGTCAATTAAACTTAGTGCTCAAAAATATACATCTACAGATACAGTCAGGGTTGAATTTTAGCCAGTACGCAGAATCAGCAAACGATTTTATAGTCGGGATTGAGTATCACCATATAATATTTTGTATTGGTCTTTTCAATAAGAACAGCACTATATACGACACATGGGCTAAGAAGCCAGGTCAGAGATCCCTAAAGTTCAGACTTAACCATCCATAATTTAGGACTGTTGATAAGAAAGAAAGTAACCAGTCAGCAACATCTGTCGCCTGCGCGGTTGTATTTAACAGAATATCGTGATTGACTGTCACAGTTATACTCCCCCACAGCTGAAAGTACGGAGCTTTTTATACCGGCATATCACAGCTCAACCCTTGGACTTTCCGATCCGCAATACGGGACGCTAATCTCTAGACGACGTTTCTTCTGCAATACTTTTTATGCTGTTTATGTTATTTAAATATAAAATTCACGGAGGATGAGGGGGGATGTGCTCGTACGTATTTGCGAATTCGTTCTGCGTATATTGAACAAATTGCATGAAACATTACAGAAACCGACTCTTGGGTCTAATGTATTTAATTCTAGAAAATACAATTTTAAAAACTTCCAAGAAAAATACAAAGTTGATAGAGCAAAACATTGCCCTTCTTTTTTTTTAATTTTCGCAAAATAAGAGAAAGTTTCTTTGTTACATATTTCAAGTTTCCTAAAACTATTTGATTTTCAAGTAAAATTACTGATAGAGTTAAGTTACTCGTTATATTAAAAATATTTTATAACCATATTAAATATTGATAGTAAGAGTTATACTGAGACACAAAATGCTATTTTTAACTAAAATATTAGATATTTGATGAACATTCAAGTCGCTGTCATAACGTGGATGCATTGTTTGTTTCTTACTATGTTAGTTTTGGATTTGTCTAAGATTGACACTGACTGTTTAGAAAGTCAATGTATTCGATTTTGTATATTACCTGCAGCCCTTGACGCTGAGATTGAAGTATTATCTAAGCAACTACAGTTTTTAAACTAGACAAAGTACTATGTTCCAACTTTTATTTAAATAATGCGTAAAAAACTAGAGGACTGGACCCAGACTTGAACGACTGAAGTGAATTTGCAAGGTTCCTAAATTCAAAATCAATAACAGCTTAAGAATGTTAAGCAGCCCATATTCATAAAGATATAGATAAATAGATAAAATAATGAAATGTAACAACGAATAAGTTTGCAGTGAAGGGTAAGTTAAAGTCCCTCTAAGATTTAACAAAGAATAAGTTTGCAGTGAAGGGTAAGTTAAAGTCCCTCTACAATTTAACAAAGAATAATTTGCAGTGAAGGGTAAGTT